CCCCAAAACCCCAAAACCCCAAAACCCCAAAGATTTACTTTTGTGAATGAAATATTAAGAAATCTTAGTTATTGCAATATTGATTACTGCTTTTGTCACCCAGGATACTGCCATTCAGACTTCTACCATAGGATTCCAATTTAAATCTTTGCAGCAAGACTTTGAGAAGTACATTCTATCTCTAATTGAGGTTTCTATGCTCATAAACGAATGTATACAGTTTATAGAGAATGACAAAATAGGTGAGTTTATCGCCTCTGCCTAAAAGTTTCCTGCTATAGGATCAAGGATCCTTGCTGAATGTATCCCAGGGTAACTATCCTAATTGCTTGAATAACTTCATTACCAACACTTAAAACATTGATGTAATCTCTGAATTTGAGTATGGCTAAATCCTCGACTTTATGATCATATTGGAGGATTTGGGACTAATTTTAGCTTTCAGGCTAACGACTCGTCTTATATATTTTCCTTGTTTTTTTTTCTTCAGAAATTGGAATTTATTACTGCTTATTGGCAACTGGGATTAGCTTGCTTTGTTGAGGTTCTTGGAAATTTAGGATAAATATGTAACTTATTAAATTGTATACAAATTTGTAACTACTGAGGACAAAGGATGTTACTGAAAAGCCATTTATATAATTTGAGTATTTTTGGATATTCTGTTTTGGTGAACTTTTTGTAACCATGCTTAGATATTTTAGGTTGAGACTTGACCATTGAGAGATTAGTGAAGAGTGTGGAATCAAAGAATTAACTCCAAGCATTGATTTTCTAATCATGTTTATATAAAGACTTCGAACTTTGAAGTATTCTAATTCTGCTTTGAAATCAAATGAATTTAATATTGAGTATACTATATATAATCAGCCATTAAAGTTCAAACTCTCTCTTTCAAACCTCAAATCCTACCTACGAGTTGCCAATTCAGGACCACTAAACCCTTAAGAATGATGACTAAATTTGATCTATAACTCTTTTTACCTCTAAGTTCGTGAAAATCCTAATTTTGGGCCAAGCAGTTTTATTACCTAGACCAAAGGTTTTAAGTCCCAAAAGTCTGTCCAAATTTCTCCATCCAAGTTTCCAGTCAAGCTCGGGCTGGATTTCCAGACCTATTCTGGCACCAGGCAAGATGCAATTTATAGTCATAGGCAAAAAAGGATTGCAAGCCCCTTTTCTCCCTTATTTTCACCTAGATTTGGACTTCTTTAAACTGTAGAATAAATCACAGTTAATAATTCGTTCAATTTTGTGAACAGAAATTGGGGTTTTGGGGTTTTGGGGTTTTGGGG